GGCCCCCCCCCCCCCCGCCCTGGGTCATGGATTGGGGGGACCCTGCCCCACCATTGCCATTGCTGACCTGATGCCCCCCACCCAGACTCGAGAGGCCTCAGTTGCCCATGGTTTTGATTGGTCATAGACATTGATCATAGACTGGAGACCCTCTGGGTTAGAATACGAGGGGAATATGATGAAGGGGACACAATGGTAGGAGTCTACTACAGACCTCCAAATCAGGAACAAGAGCTGGACCATGAATTTGCCAGGAAGCTGGCTGAGGCTGCACGCTTTTGGTTCATGGTCATTGTGGGAGACTTTGACTACCTGGACATCTCACAGAAAGAGCACTCAGCCAAATCCGATCAGTCGCAAAACTTCCTCACATGTGTGGATGACCTGTTACCTGTCACAAGAAGTTTACGGGCCAACAAGAGGTAAGGCGCTGCTGGACCTGGTACTGGCCAAAGGGGGATAATCTAGTGAGTGACCTAAGAATCAAAGGGAAACTGGGAGACAGCAACCACAAGTAGATCACTTTCACTGTCCATCGCAAAGCTGGCAAGTCAGCAGTGCAGAAGATCTTGACTTTAGGAAAGATGACTTTCATAAGCTCAGGAGGCTTGTTGTTGCAGCCCTGAGAGGCCATGATTTGACAGGGAACGGAGTTCAAGATGAGTGGTTGCTTGTTAAGGAAGCAATCCTAAAAGCACAAGGCAAGTCCATTCCAGCCTGTAAGAAAGGTAGTAAAAGGGCTCAGCAGCCCCTTTGGCTCAACAGGGAACTCATGGACCTCCTACGTCTAAAAAGAGAAGCTTATAAAGGATGGAAGACAGGAAACACCACTAAGGAAGAGTATTCGGCACTGGTCCGCACCTGTAAGGAACAAACTAGGAAAGCCAAGGCTGTAACTGAACTCCATCTGGTTACATGAATCAAAGACAATAAAAAGTCCTTCAGATACGTGAGCAGTCGAAAAAAAACAAGGGCCTCATTGGACCCCCCTGCTAAACCAAACAGGGCAGCTGGCAACCAACACCCAGGAAAATGCCAACCTGCTTAATGATTACTTTGCATCGGTCTTTCACCCAACACTGGGTCTTTCACCCAAAGGGACCACCCTGCCTGACAAGATGTGGGATGACCAGGGTGAGAGTGAATATATGCCCACCACTGGCATAGATCTTGTGAGGGAACACCTTGAGAGGCTGGGCACCCACAAATCAGCTGGCCCAGATAGATTGCACCCAAGAGTACTAACAGAACTGGCAAGACATAGCACAGCCTCTGGCAAGGATAGTCAAGAACTTGTGGTGCTTGGGCTAAGTACCTGAAGGTTGGAAGAGGGCCAGTGTGGTGCCTATCTTCAAGAAAGGGAGAAAGGAAGATCTGGGGAACTACAGGCCAATCAGTTTGACCTCAGTCCCTGGAAAGATCTTGGAAAAAATTATCAAAGACAACATTATCGACAGGCTTAACAGAAGACAACTTTCTGAGGGAAGGCCAGCACGGGTTTGTTGCGGGCAGGTCTTGCCTGACCTATCTCATTTCCTTCTATGACCAGGTGACACATCACCTGGACAAAGGGGAAGAGGTTGATAACATATATTTGGACTTTAAAAAAGCTTTTGATCTGGTGTACCATGATGTCCTCATGGAAAAATTGGGGAACTATGGCCTCAACTACCTTACAGTCTGATGGCTTGTCAGGCAGGGTGGTCCCTTTGGGTGAAAAACCCAGTGTTGGGTGAAAGACCGATGCAAAGTAATCATTAAGTAGGTTGGCGTTTTCCTGGATGTTGGTTGCCAGCTGCCCTGTTTGGTTTAGCAGGGGGGCCCAATGATGTTTGACCGAAGTCCGACCCAGAGAGTGGTAGTTAACGGAACTGAATCAACATGGCACTCAGTGACCAATGGTGTCCCCCAAGGCTCTGTTCTTGTACCTGTACTCTTCAATGTCTTTATAAATGGACTGGACTCTGGTGTCAGAAGTGGAATGGTTAAGCTCGCTGATGACACCAAACTATAGGGAAGAGTGCCCACACTGGAGGATAGGCTGGTGATCCAGGTCAAACTTGATAGGCCTGCAAGGTGGGTGGATGAAAACCTGATGGCATTCGATTCCACCAATCTCATTTCCTTTTACAACCAGGTGACCTATGACCTGGACAAGGGGAAAGAGATTGATGTTGTATATTTTGACTTTAAAAAAGCCTTCGATCTAGTATCCCATGATCACCTCTCAGCAAAACTGGCTAACTGCGGCCTCAACCTCACCATGATGCACTGGCTGGGGAATTGGCTCCGCAGCAGGACCCAAAGTGTGGTGGTGGACGGAAGTCAATTGTCATGGTGCGCTGTGGCCAGTGGGGTCCCTCAAGGCTCTGTCCTAGGGCC